GATGGGAACAAGATCTGTGTACACAGATCACACCACGATGTGTGTAAACAGTGGACCCGCGCACGCGATTACACAGTTGAAGACGCAATCTGTGTACACAGATCACACATTGATCTGTGCATTTCAAAAAGGTGAACGCTCGCCACCTCGAAGGTGCCCCTACTTTGCCAAACCAGAATCGAGATCGACATGCCCAGCCCGGGAGGAATTCAAATACACACTTGCCTGGCCCAGGGCGGCCCCGGGGGGGCTGCGAATACACAGTTCCCTGGCCCAGGGCGGCCACCGTGGGCTGCGGCGCCAAGGCGGCCGAATCTGTCCCGAATACGTCCCTAGAAGGCCCCGATGGACCCGCAAGGCCCCGCAGCAGTCCGATAGCACGAGAAGTGTCACATGTCACGGACCTCTGAACAAGCATAACCTCAAGCGTCGCCATACAAACAGCTGCGCTGGCACGGGGGTGGGCTTTGCCGGGGGCATGTATAATTTCGCTTTCACATGCTCGCGATGCGTTTGTGTTTGGCGGCCGCAGCCGCCGACGCTTGAAGTGCTCCCCGACAACTTGCTTTGGCACCCTCTACTTGGTTAGGTCGCTGTGCTCGGACATCGAACGGCCGGTATAACGCCAACGCGGGCACGCGGCTCCAGGGACCTCGCTTGCCTTCGAGCAAGGAGGGAGGACGAGGTGAATCGACGGATGATGGAGCGGGGAGGCAAAGAAAAAAACGGAACGGGGAGCAAGGGGGGGCAATGGGCGCTCTCCCGCCCGAGCCGCGGACGCTTCGACCCCCGTCCAGGGGGCGAGACAAGAGGACGAGGGAGCAAGGAGGAGGCGGACGACGGAAAGCACCATAAATGTGATCCACATGTATACCAGATGCTGACGGTTGGGGTGCGCGTATTTTCGAGGCACTTCAAGCCCGCCCCATGCTGAATTCACTGATTCCTCCCAACTGTGTAAACATCCTGCCCTCTGTACCCCCGTCCTATAGAACTGCCTCACAACAGAGGGGCACTGGATTCCAAGATACTGAGGGTACTGGTGATGATGATGATGATGATGATGATGATGATGATGATGATGATTATGATGATGATGATGATGATGATGATGATGATGATGATGATGATGATGATGATGATGATGATGATGGTGGCGATGGTGATGCTGATAATGCTGACGACGGTGCACATGATGATGAACATGCTGCTGATGATGACAGTGATGATGCTGAGCATCATGATGATGATAGTGACGCATCATGGTGATGATGGTGACAGATTGTGGTGATGCTGATGGCGGTGATGATGATGATAATGCTGATCATGATGATGATGATGATGGTGATTCTGAAGAGGTGGAGTACGATTAGGGTTATGAAGGTGATGAGGTCGATGATGATGATGATGATGATCATGCTGATGATGATGATGATGATGACGACGGAGATGAAAACGATACTAATAATGATGATGATGACGATGATGATGATGATGATGATTATGATGATGATGATGAGGATGACGAGGATGACGATGATGATGCTGCCCATGCTCATGAAACTGAAGTTTATGATGATCTGGATGATGATGCTACTGATGATGCCGACGATGATAATGATGGTGGTGATGCTGATGATGATCAAGACCGGCCAGGCACGATCAAGAGCAATCAGGCCCCGGGCCTGCAGCCGTGCCTGAGAGTTCTCCCGCGGGCAAATGCCGGAACCCACGGCGGGGCTGCGCACCGTGCGGCGGCGCAGCTGGCGGCCCGCCGGGAGCTCCTCCGCGCGCGGGGACGTCGTCGTCTTGACTGTTCTCGCCGTCGATGTGGCGGTGGCGGCCGTCTTCGTAGTTTTCAACGCCAATCGCTTCATACGTTTTCGGTTCACTCTCTGGGGCCCCTTGGAGCCTCTTGGAGCCTCCCGAGGCCTCTGGGGACCACTGGAGATCGGCAGATACCCGCAGATCCTGGCGTCACGAGAAAGCCGCGACGGACGGATTTGTATTATTTTTTGGGGCCTCGTGGGTATTACCACGAAAAAGAAGAATCCTGAGGTTAACGGGTCTTGGTCCATCGGATTTCTCCTCAGGCTGGAGTCTACTTTTGACGGTCCTGTGGCCCGAAAGGGGCCCTGGGAGCCCGAAAACGGTAGACAACAATTCCACTACCCTGCTCCCTCAGGGCCCATCCCTGGCGACCATCAAAGAACGGCTCGGGATGAGGAGCCGATCGCCAGGGCAAGACCAATGAGCACGAAATCGGGAGATCCGATTGAATCGAAATGGGCGTCGGAGCACGCCGCCTCGGCACGGAATTGAAACCGAAGTGGATCGGCTGCGCCGGGACGCGTGACGGCGCCATGCAAGCATGGGGCCGCGTCGGACGGTCGACATGTCAGAATCGAATCGGATCGTGCCGGCCAGGAACGATACCGAGCGGGATCGACTGTATCGAAGTGGACCAGGAGGAGGACGGAGGAGGAGGACAGGAGGAGGAGGAGGAGGAGGAGTAGGAAGGAGGAGGACGGAGGACGGAGGAGGAGTTGGAGGAGGAGGAGGAGGAGGAGGAGGAGGAGGAGGAAGAGAAGGGGGAGGAGAAGGAGGAGGAGGAGGAGGAGGTCTGCAGGGGTGGAGAGGCGGGCCATGGGTAGGCACGCGCAGCAGCAGATGCAGCGGCCAGCAGCGCGGCAGCAGCGCGACGGCCGCAGCAGGCAGCGGCAGCATGCAGCGGGCAGCACAGCAGCAGCGGCGGGGCAGGGGGGAGGGGCACAAAGTAGAAGAAGAAAAAACACATAAACATACACTTTTGGCGCTCCACGCGGATTTCCTGGATCTGCGCTGGACCCCCCTCTCTGGTGCGCGGAGGGCGCCAAGGGCGGCGCCGGAGGCGCCGCCAGGGGAGCCCAGCGCGGATCCCAGAAATCCGCGCGGAGCGCCAAACGTTTATGTTTACGTGGTTTTTTCTTATTCGAAGAAGCACCGAAGGGCGCAGGCGGAGGTGGAAGAGACGGTGGAGCGGGACTCGATCGGCACCTGTCGTGCTCACGCCTGGGGTGAGGTGCGGCTGATCTGGGACGAGTCCGTGTTGCGAGGGTGTACCGCGCCGCTTCTTGCACCGAGTGGGGCCCATTTGCTCGGCTCCGATGTGGGTCCACGGTGTACCACTCCGCTCTGCAGGATCGATGCGTTCCGACCGGTTCGGATCTGTTCGATTTCGATCGCCTCCATCGGGGCGTTTGGTTCTGGCTGTGATTGGTGGCTGCTCGGCTCGATTTCGTTCGGCTCGATGGATGCCGATTCGCTTCGACTGACTCGGCTTCAATAGTAAGAAAGATATGTCGTAAACGTCGATGCCGGGGGATCCACCTGTCATGAAACAACCATATCAGCGGTGGGCCCAACATTTTGCGATTTTGGGAGCCAAGCCCCGAGAATCTTCGAGTACCGGTGAAGGCCTCGAGAGGAATGACGCGGCAAAACACGTCAGCGTTTGGTTGAAGCATAGGGTGCATCTGTGAAGACGAGAGGACGGGAGATGGAGGGCGCGGGAGGTGAGAGGGATGATCGGGGGAAATGGGGGGGAAGAGAGTGTGTGCATGTGCGTGCGAGAAGAAGTGGGAGAGCAGCGAATACTGGATGAATGAGGAGGGGGGATCACACACTTGGAGACTCACCCGCCCTTGGAGTTGAGAAGGCTGAATGGGCTTGCCGAGGTAGGGTACGAGGAAACCGCGCCTGGACAGATGTGCCGCCCGAGAACATTGGGATACTCGGATCGGCCTGGTGCGAACCGGGCGCCGCAAAGACCTCTGAGGAGGGGTGTCGGGCGGGCGGGCACCGAGGATAGGGTGGGAGGCTCACAACAGCCCGTGCCTCTGGATCGATCTGGTACGAACCAGGCGCCGCAAAGATCTCTGAGGGGTGTTTGGCGGGCACCGAGGATAGGGCGGGGGGGCTCACCACAGCCCGTGCCCCCGACGCCCAGAACTTCCCAAGACGTGGACTCCCAAGGTGGTCCCCTCGACTCCATCCTGGGGCGCCTTCCCTTCGCGAGCCCGACTTCGTGCTCACATGGAGGCCGAGCGTCGGCAGACAGATAAAACAAACCGACAGCAAGAAGACGCCGCGAGGCCCCGATAGAGGAGCAAACATCGGGGATGGACATAACCTCCTTTATTAAAACGTGGTTTAGTGAAAACGACTTCGGCCCAAACCTGGCGGTTGCAAGCCTGGAAAATGACGGCCGCGGCGCCCTCTCGAGAACCGAAAACGGACAATTCGCTAATCGACGTGTCAGGGTGGGGGCTCTGTCCACCCAGAAAAAAAAAACATCATAAACATCAGCTTTCGCCGGTCCGCGTTTGATGTTTGCGGGGTTTATTATTATTATTATTATTATTATATATTATATTATATTATATTATATTATATTATATTATATTATATTATATTATTATTATTACTATTATTATTCCTCTTCTTCTTCTTCTTTGGATTCCTCTTCTTCTTCTTCTTCTTCTTCTTAGTCTTAATATTATTCTTCTTATTTGTATTATTCTCCTTATTCCACTTCGACCTGAGGCGTGGAGGACGGCGGGGGCTAGACGACCGCGAACGCCGCCGAGAACGGGGAGTGTGGCGGCGCAGCGGGCCCCCCGGGCCCACCGCGTGTGGCGGGCAGCGGGGCTGGGCCCCGCGGCGGCCGCTGCGCCCTTCGCCGCAGCTCCCTCGGCGAGGCGGCCGCGCGAGGGGCCCCCGAGGAAAAGGAGGGGGAGGAGGAGGAGGAGGAGGAGGAGGAGGAGGAGGAGGAGGAGGAGAGGAGGAGGAGGAGGAGGAGGAGGAGGAGGAGGAGGAGGAGGAGGAGGAGGGAGGAGGAGGAGGAGGAGGAGGAGGAGGAGGAGGAGGAGGAGGAGGAGGAGGAGGAGGAGGAGGCTCGAGCGCCAGCCAGGGGGCCCCGGGGCCACCGCGTGGGCGCGGGGGGCGCGCTGCGCGGGCTCTCAGGGCCGGCCCCGCTGCTCGGCCAGGTACCGCTCCACCCTCCGCTGCTGCTCCTCCATGCAAATGGGCTTCACGGCCCCGGGGGCGGAGGGGCCCCCCTCCTCCTCCTCCTCCTCCTCCTCCTCCTCCTCCTCCTCCTCCTCCTCCCCTCCTCTCCTCCTCCTCCTCCTCCTCCTCCTCCTCCCCTCCTCCTCCCTCCTCCTCCTCCTCCTCCTCCTCCCTCCTCCTCCTCCTCCTTCCTCCTCCCCTCTCCTCCTCCCTCCTCCTCCTCCTCCTCCTCCTCCTCCTCCTCCTCCTCCTTCCTCCGCCTCTCCTCCTCCTCCTCCTCCTCCTCCTCCTCCTCCTCCTCCTCCTCCTCCTCCTCCTCCTCCTCCTCCTCTTGCCTCTTGCCTGCCTAAAGCGCGGTGTAATGTTTTGAGGGCTTCTCCCCATGCCCCGAGATTTTCTCAAGGCACGGTTTAAAGAGCTTACTAAACGTGGTAGCTGCATAGCCACCACACCCACGACACCAGACGACGCCACGAAACCTCTGAAAATGCTTGCGGGACGGTTGGATCCTAGCAGGGAGCCCTGGGCACCCCGAGCGGAGCCAGCCCCCCGCTGCCCCCGACGGGGCCGTGAGGCATCTGGAGCACCTGAGGGCTTTGCTTGGCCTGTCCACCAAACAATGGGAAGTGCAGGTGAAACGCGCCGAGGGGACCGCTTGCTCTCGCGATTCCTGTCCTCAGCGCTGCTCGCTCCATAAATCTGGGCAGAGGTCGTGGCAATGTGGTGGGGAGGCCGTCAAAACATGGATTCTCCTACCGAGAGTGTCAAACCGACGCACTTCAGTGATGGCAAAGCTGGGGCGTTTGGGCCTCCCTAGCACTTCCTCCGCAAGCGTGCCGGCCAAAAATATAGCCGCCCAAAACCCAAAGCGGCTTAGGCGAACCAAGACAGCATCGGAAGTGGACTCATGAGCCTTGACTTTGGCGGCCCGCAAACGACGCCCTACACACTCTTGCCAGAACTGGTCCCAACACGTGGGGTTCTGAGCGTGGTGGAAGCAGGGGGCAGAATCAATCCCACTGGTTGTCGCCGATTAGAATGAGGTTTCCCTCCGTCAGTTGGGCGATGCGATCGCACGCCCACAGCTCTGACAAGGGGACCGTCTGCTTGTAAGAAGGGACGGGTCCCTTGGCCCACCCCAAAATCTCTCCTCCTAAGACAATAGCCGCCCCCCACCCGCACCTCCGATACCTGGGGTCAGCGGGAAAAGCAGCCTGCAGACCCATCGCCTCCGATGTAGGCCCCAAGGGGGAGACGCACCTTTTCTCCTTGCAGGGAGGGGGACAGCTTTTCTACTCCGTGGATCTGCAGGTGCTGGATGTTGAAGGTCCAGGCCAGAGGCGTGAGGCCACAGAGCCAGAAGCACGGTTCATCCTGGCACCCCTCGCGAGTATCGGCCTGGAGATCCCAATGCAAACCCTCGTCGGGCAGCTCGAAATTACAACGGCACTCTCTGGTGGAAAAAGAGTCTCTTCACACTCTTGGCATCCAGGGCACAACTGAGAACTCCAAGCTTCTAAACTGGGTGGAACACTGTGGAGCAAGGCCTGGTCGGCATCTCCCTCGACCAGGCCTCCCTCTCCCTCCGAGAGCGGGTCCTCCTCCTCCGAAGGGTCCCCTCTCGGGGTCATCAAACGAAGCGGGACCCTGCGGGGGCGTGGGATTGCCATGAGAGGAGGAGGCAGCCGCAGCAACAGGGGCATCGGCAGCAGCAGGGGAGCCGTCAGAAGGAGTAGGGACGGTACGGATGCCCCAGCGGCTTTCGCTGCCAAAGCGTCTCGCAGCTGGCCACAAGGCTCCCGTGGCCACCATACGCAAAACTCGTGCTTTCTCATAATCCTTGCTGCGGGCGAGGGAAAGCAAGTGCTGCTTCAAGACTGCGAAATCGACACCGTCCTGGGCACCCTTACCATACGGATGGTAACTGGCAGCACGGATCCGACACTCGTGATCAAAAGCTTGTTTGATCTCAAACTTGAGCAGGTGCTCTCTGTCGTGCTCTGGAATGTGAAGAAACTCGCCTCTGGGGATCCTCCAACCAACGGGGCCAAGGGGTTCCCAGTGGGGGTCCACGAGACTGGCGATTACAGCTCCTATTAAGCCTTTGACTCGGGCCCAGTGCCTGGCATTTGCCCGCAGATGTGTGACCGTCCTGCTCCAGACGATCTCGATGGCTCGCATTCGCTCGGGCATGTGGGTTAAAATTTCCAGCCAAGACGTGAAAACCTGCATTCTCCCCTGGATCATGGGGCCATCTTTTCTTCGACGCCTCGCCTTATGCAAGTGGTTGGGCAGCCTCCTGGCTTCTTGTACCCAGTGAGGGCTGCAACCGAGCTCCGAAGTCTATAAAGCGTGCTGGGACTGAGGCCTTGTTCCATCTGCCCGTAGGTGACTGCTGGTCTGTACCCAGTCTTTGCCAGGACGCGCGCTTGGGGATGACTGAAGTTGCACGTCTGGCCGTGTGGCCGACGATGCACAGATCCCTCCTCCTCCTCCTCCTCCTCCTCCTCCTCCTCCTCCTCCTCTCCTCCTCCTCCATCCTCCTCCTCCTCCTCCTCCTCCTCCTCCTCCTCCTCCTCCTCCTCCTCCTCCTCCTCCTCCTCCTCCTCCTCCTCCGCCTCCTCCTCCCCCAGAACGCGGCGACTCGGGCAGCCGCCTGCCCCCCGGCGCCGCGGCGGCGGTGCCGCGCCGCCAAGCACAAGAAAAAACTCGCAACCGGGCTTGCGTTATGATGTTCCAACCTAGTTTAGCCTTGATCACCACGAAGAACTTCGAGCACAAAGGAAGTACCAAAACATGAGGGTGTTCACGTGTCGGGCTCTGGGAGGCGATACTCGTTCGACACTGCTTCGACATTGGTCCTGGGTGCTCGAAATTATGTTTGGAAAGTGCTCCTTAAGTACGATGGGAGCAACAGATGGCTTGCGTCGTGTTCGGCCTCCAGAGGCCGTTGCCCGGACCCAGGAGCGTCCACAGAAACGACCCGGACAGAGAAGGCGGCCCCAGGGAAGCTGCCGAGATCCCCAGGGGCCCAGGTCGCGACCACGAGAGCTGACTCGTCGGTGGAGGGTCCCGCTGGCCGGTCCCAGCTGGACCCGGGCTTCCCCTGAGATCCTGGCGATGCACGCTTTTCGAGCCGGACGTTTTCGCTAAATATCGGGCCCCGGGACCCTCACGGGGCTCGAAAAATGATGCAGAAAGATGGGGTCCAGGGGTCCAGTTGTGCATGTCTACGATGTTGCAATTTTGTGACAACGTCGAACTTCAGGGTCCTGCGGACTGGTTCTGCTCAATCCCGGCGTCGTTCTTCACGGTCCCCCGGGACTGTCACAAGCCGATTCCCGGTGCGACGGCCCGCCCCCTAGGGAAGCCCCAGGAACAATACGTAACAGTGGGGGTCAAGGTGGGATGCTGGGCAGCCCAGGAGCTCAGACATCTCCGGCATGGAAGCTCCGACGTTCGTCCTGATGTCTTTGTGCAGATTCGAAGAATTATGGAAGCCGTTGGAGGTGCTGAAGCCCCTGGGGAGGAGGAGGAGGAGGAGGAGGAGGAGGAGGAGGAGGAGGAGGAGGAGGAGGAGGAAGGCGATCTCACCAGGTCCTGCTCCCTCAGCTCGTCCATCGCGCAGTTGCTCGGCCTCCACGGCAGGCCGAGGGCCCGCGCGAACTCCAGAAAGAGCTGCACGTAGACGGGCGAAGCGTAGTGCCGCTGCTTCGGATCCCACGGCTTGCAGCACGCAAAGTGGACCAGGGACGCGGTAGCGGGCGTGATCCCGCTGTACAGCGGCCTCTGGCGGCATCCTCCAATACCATCTCCCCTCCTCCCCCTCCAGCCCCGCGCGGGATCAGATTCTTGACGTCGAGAACCGAACCCTGGCCCCCCGACGTCACCAGTCTTCTGCAGCGTGAGCGCCTGAAGGTCTCGGCCCATTCCTCAGGACCGCTTTCCCGTCCGGAGTCCTTCTGTTGCCGGTCTCGGGGCCCGCGAGGGCCTCTATGCAGGCCCCTGCTGCCGTCGTGTCTGTTCACGGCGCGAGGGGGTCTGGGACAACAGATATCGACGTCGACGGCACTCGGGCACAGGCGAGGGCCAGGGCAACACGACGTGGCCCCGATCTCTGGCCGAAATCGAGGCGCGCTCCCGCCGAAACGCTGGTCCCAGCATCCCGAGAAGATGGTGGGGCTCAGCCAAACAACACAATCCTCCTCGCGTCGTGAGAAAATAACAACCGAACACTTCTGATCACCCTCGGCCCTGTAGGTCGAACGCAAAGGATGCATAATCTGTCGGAGCTCCGCACGGATTTCTTGCATCGGCACTCGGCCCCAAAAGCGGCGCCTTCGTCCCTGGCGCGCTCCGCACGCCAGGGAGGAGTCCAGCGCCGATCCAAGAAAACCGCGCGGACCTCCGAAAGAGCGTGCCTATGCAAGTGTTCCTTCTCGGATTTGGTCCGTCTCACAGGAGGAGTCTGGTCCTCTCTAGGCTCCTCCCCCAGGAAGGACAGGAGGAGTAGGAGGAGGAGGCGGAGGAGGGGGAGGAGGAGGAGGCGAAGGAGGAGGAGGAGGGGAAGGAGGAGGGGAAGGAGGAGGAGGGGAAGGAGGAGGAGGAGGGGAAGGAGGATCATCAGGGGCCCCGGCCGGGCCCCGGGGCCCTCAACGAGAAACCGGCCCCGGGGCAAAGCATATCTCGACCTCCGGGGGCCCGATCGGTGGGGGCCGCGCCGCCGGGCCCGGGGAGCTCCGGGGAGCTCCCCGCGCCCAGGGCCCCACGTGCTCCACTTGAAGCAGTCCGCGAGGGCCTCCCGAAGCCCAGCGGGACGGGGAGGAGAGCTGCAGTGTTTTCTGAGCTCGACGCTCGCGCAGCCTTTGTGAACACAGCAGCGGCGGCGGGGACAGCGCTGCTGGCAGCGAGGGGGACCTCACGGACCGAGAAGGGTCCTCCAGCAGCCCCATGGGCCAGGATGCCCAGGCCACACGACGGGCGACCGCCCCGTGGCGCAAGAGGGGAGAGCTGCAGAGCCCTGGGCTCTCGGAGCCCCGGGCTTCGTGGATCGGCGCTGGACCCCCCCCCCCCCTGGCGCACGGAATGCGCCAAGGGCGGCGCCAGAGGCGCCGCCGAGGGAGCCCCGCGCCCCGCGAGGACATCTGCAAGCGTGTGCGTGTGCAGTGTGTTCGTCTTCGAGAGGAGGGGCGGGAGAAGGGGCGAGGGGAGCAGGAGGGAGGAGTGCGAGGAGGAGCAGTTGCCATGGGATCCTCTCAAGCGCTCGCCTGCCACTGCCGGTGGGGTCTGGGCCTGGAAGGCCGAGCCGGTTCGGGTTCCCCAGGAGTCCGACTCGGGATCCCCAGGTCCCCATGGCTGTTGTTCTCTCGTCACAGGCCAGTTTCTACAAGTCCTGGAGCGCAGCCCCGACTTTGAGCAGAAGCGCCGAGGTTTCACTAATTGCGACGTCGGAGGTATTCGCTGGATGTTTGAGGGTTCGGGAGGGAGGGGACGCAACAGGGCCTCCTTCCGAGCCCGTTCGGCGTCTGCGCCCGCTCGGCTGCCGAGTGAGACCAAGATCGAGCCCGTTCGCCTCCCGAGTCAATCTCAGCAGCACCAAGTGGGAACATGAAAGCCCCTCCAGCTGCCCATGCGGCGGCCGAGTGCCAAAGAACACTAGGGCTCCCAACTTCGCGCTTCGCGCTGCGCGAAGCGCGAAGCGCGAATAACTTCGCGCTCTCGCGCCGCCCTCCCAAAGGGAGAATAGGAGGACGAGGAGGAGGGGGAGAAGGAACGAGGACCGCGAAGCGCGAAGCGCGAATAACTTCGCGCCCTCGAGGGAGCCCTTGCAAAGAACAAACGTCATCACCATACACTGTCCGAGCTCCACGCGGATTTCTGGGATCCGCGCTGGACTCCCCTCCCCGGCGCGCGCGGAGCGCGCTGTGGGGCGGCGCCAGTGGCGCCGCCAGGGGGGTCAAGCTCAGATCCAAGATATCCGCCAAGACCTTCGAAGGTCTCTGATTCATTTCCTCTGTTGTCGAAGGGTGCTGCTTCTCATCCTGAGTCGTGTTTGATGGCCCTAAGGTCGGACACGGACTCGAGAGGTCGAAAACGTCCCTTCAACTGGCCGCAACGAGTTTCCTGCACTGCCCGGGTCTGAGGAGGCGCCAAACGGGCTCGGAAAGAAGCCCTGGGGGGGCACCTTCGGGATCCCCTCGGAACCTCAGCAGGAGAGCACAGAATCGAATCGACAAATCGGATCGGCGATCGACATGAATCGGATCGGCGGAAATCGGCAGCTAAGTCGGGAAAATTCGATTCGGCAGAAATCGGCAGGCCACTGTGACTCCAAGAAGGCATCGGAACCCAGATCGGAATCCCAAATCGCATCGAATCGGAATCGGAACTCATCAAAGTCGAATCGAAGCGAACCGGAGGAATCGAGACGAGCCCTGCCTCAGGTGGTAGCGGACGTTGAAGTTGTATCTCGCCGGCAGCAGCCGCCACTGCGGCCGG